AGGGTTCGCATGGCGGCGCGGGCCATTTCGGTACACCCCTCACGAGGATCGTAGCCCCATAGGAGCTCCACCGAAGGCTCCAGTGGCTGCGTTCGCATGGCGGCCTCGGGCCATTTCGGCACACCCCTCACGAGGATCGTGGCCCCATAGGAGCTCCACCGAAGGCCCCAGTGGCAGCCTCCCTCATGGCCCTTAGAGCCCTCTCCTGCTTCTGCTCCTCGGTCAGGGGGGCGCCGTCCTCGTCGTCGTCGGCGCCCGCGAAGACGGCCACGAACGTGTCCCTGAGCATGTCGGGCTCCGGCGGGAAGTTGTGGCCACATCGGGAGCGCTGACGAAGATGTTATTCACAATTGCGGTAGTCACAACTGCGTATGGTTGGGTCTTTCGCCAAGCTAATTTTTCTCAGGGTTTCCCTAAAGTAATGGCTTTCCCTAGGCAAGGGGGAGGGGGGGGAGGAGGAGGAGGAGGGGGAACGGGGGGTGGGGGGTGAGGACGAGCAATAGAAGAATGATGAGAGGATGAGAGGATGAAAGGATGAAGGGGGGGAGGAGGAGGAGGAAGAGGAAGAGGAAGAACGGCTTTGAATTGGCCCAAAGAGGGCCCCCCACGGGAGTCCCATGCCATATCCTTATCCGCGCCCTCGCGGTCTGGATTCTGAGACGCGGTCCAGCGGATACGCGGTCGCGCGGATACGCGGTCGCGCGGGGCATCCGCGAACAAAAAACGCCCCGCATCCGAGGTGTCGCGGCCCTGAAGGCTGGTCCGCGAGGCCGCGGGTGGTACGGATATTTTTGTCCCAGCCATCCTGTGGTGTTGGGTCCTCGTTTTGATGAGACAGTGCCTCGCGTCACTCCTCCTCTCCTCTCCTCCTCCCCATCCTCCTCCCTCCTCCCACAGGAGCGCTGCCCTCTCTCCTCCCCTCACACGTTTCGTGGCCCCACCGGGAGCTCCACCGAAGGCCCCAATGGTTGCGTTCGCATGCGCCCACCGCGCCCATTTCGGTACATCCCTCACACGTTTCGTGGCCCCACAGGGAGCTCCACCGAAGTCCACAATGGCTGCGTTCGCACGCGCCCACTGAACCCATTCGGTACACTCCTCACACGTCGCGTGGCCCCACTGGGAGCTCCACCGAAGGCCCCAGTGGCTGCGTTCGCATGCGCCCACCGCACCCATTTCGGCACACCTCTCACACGTTTCGTGGCCCCACTGGGAGCTCCACCGAAGGCCCCAGTGGCTGCGTTCGCATGCGCCCACCGCACCCATTTCGGCACACCCCTCACACGTTTCGTGGCCCCACAGGTTGCCCCACCGAAGGCCCCTGCTGCTGCGTTCGCATGCGCCCACCGAACCCATGTCGGCACACCCCTCACACGTCGCGTGGCCCCACAGGGAGCTCCACCGAAGGCCCCAATGGTTGCGTTCGCATGTGCCCACCGCACCCATTTCGGTACATCCCTCACACGTTTCGTGGCCCCACAAGGAGCTCCACCGAAGGCCCCAGTGGCTGCGTTCGCATGCGCCCGCCGCACCCATTTCGGCACACCCCTCACACGTCGCGTGCCCCCATAGGGAGCTCCACCGAAGGCCCCGATGGCTGCGTTCGCATGCGCCCACCGCACCCATTTCGGCACACCCCTCACACGTTTCGTGGCCCCACAGGGAGCTCCACCGAAGGCCTCAGTCGCTGAGTTCGCATGCGCCCACCGCACCCATTTCGGCACACCCCTCACACGTTTCGTGGCCCCACTGGGAGCCCCACCGAAGGCCCCAGTGGCTGCGTTCACACTCGGCCACCGAACCCAGTTCGGCACACCCCTCACACGTTTCGTGGCCCCACAGGTTGCCCCACCGAAGGCCCCTGTTGCTGCGTTCGCTTGCGCCCACCGCACCCATTCCGGCACACCTCTCACACGTGTCGTGGCCCCACAGGGAGCTCCACCGAAGGCCCCAGTGGCTGCGTTCCAATGCGCCTACCGCACCCACTTCGGCACACCCCTCACACGTCTCGTGGCCCCACAGGGAGCTCCACCGAAGGCCCCAGTGGCTGCGTTCCAATGCGCTCACAACACCAATGTCGGCACACCCCCTGCACGTTCCGTGGCCCCACAGGGAGCTCCACCGAAGGCCCCGGCACAGCACTCATGCGTTTCGTGGCCCCACAGGGAGCGCTACCGAAGAAGATACTCACACATGCGGTACGCACAGCTGCATATGGTTGGATCCTACCCACGACCCCCGTCATCCCACATCTGAAGGGGCCCATGGACACACACAAACAAATAAACACAAACCCCAGGATTCCCCAGATTTCCCTTACGTACCTACCAGACGTTCGCCTTCCCCCCCACACTTCCCATATGTTAAATGCTTTCTTGGGAATCGGCAACTGTCTGTGTGTGTGGTTTTTGTTCCTCCTGAACATCGTGGGGCAAGGCTTCGTGCCTGTGCCTTACATCGCCGCTCGATGACCTCCCACCACGGCGCCGGAGGCGCCCGTGTGGCGACGGAGGCGCGGCAGCCAGCGGCGGGCCAGAAGCTGGCTGCGTGCAGCCGACGCGAGGAGCGGCGCGATGACGAGGAGGAAGAGCCTCCTCGTCCTCGCGCCTCCTCCTCGCCCTCTCCGCTCATCGTCCTCGCGCCGCTCCTCGCCCTCATCGTCCTCGCCCTCCTCGTCCTGGCCCTCGCCCTCCTCGTCCTCGCCCTCGCATCGTCCTCGTCGCGCGCGCTCCTCCTCGCCCTCGCTCTCCTCCTCGCCCTCGCGCCGCTCCTCGCCCTCCTCCTCCTCCTCCTCCTCCTCCGCCGCCTCCTCCTCGCCCTTCCCCCTTTCGCCCGACCTGGCCCCCGCGCCCCGCCTCGCCCAGGGCTCGCTCCTGCCACTCGCGCGCGCCCGCAACTCGGCGGCCCGCGCGGCGGTGCGAACGGACGAGCGGGCGGCCCCCCCTGTGGCGGCTCCCCCCCCTCCGCCGCGGACCCCTCCTCCTCCCCGGCCCCCTCCCTCCCCGGACCTAGGAAAGCAGGAGTGGCCCGAAGACCGCAGCCCTTCCTGAGCACGGCGCGGCCCCTGCTCCAGCGTCTCGGCCTGTGCTCCGCCCTTCTCCTGCTCCGTCGTCCCTCTCCGCCCCGGCCTCCCCTGCCGCCCGCGAGCTGGAGCGAAGTCTTCCCCGCCCCCGCCCCCCCCCACCCCACCCCTCGCGCGCCCAGCCCCCCCGCTTGCCGGGTGGCCTTCTGCGGCAGGGCTGCCCGCGAGGGGGCGGAGGCGGCGGAGCACGAGGGAGGGTTGGGGGAGCCAGCAGGAGGGGGAGGACGAGGAGCAGCAGGAGCACGAGGAGAATCGGCGGCGGCAGGGACAGCAAGAGGAGCAGGCAGGAGCAGGCCGGCAGTGGTCGGGCAGCTGGCGCAGGATGAGCGCAGGAGGCAGGAGGACGCGCGAGGAGGAGGAGGAGGAGGAGGAGGAGGAGGAGGAGGAGGAGGAGGAGGAGGAGGACGAGGAGGAGGAGGAGGAGGAGGAGGAGGAGGAGGAGGAGGAGGAGGAGGAGTCGGGCGGAATACGAGGCAGGATCAGGAGGAGGATGCCAGAGGAGGGGCGCGCGACCCTCTCCCGGACCCCTGCGCTCGTCCCAATATCGCACGATGCTCATCAGCGACCGTGTACACGCGATGGCAGTGCAGTGGTATAGGCAGCTGAGCTCGGAGCTGAGGAACTACTTTTCGAGCGCGCCACAACCCCATCACGGACCTATAGGCCTGTAGGACGATGTTGCTGATTTAGTTTCTGCTTACTGTTGCATATCCTCGGCGCGCCTCTCTTCTGCAGCCCTTGCGGTGCCTGCTCTCGTCTTCTGCTGGCTCCGTGGTCTTTCATTGTCATCTCGCCCGACGTTCCTTCCTCCTCATACCGTTCTCCTTTCGTCAATATTCCTGGGCTGCGGCATCCGGCATTTGGCAAAACATGCTGGGATGATAACAGGAGTTGATATTTCAGAGACTGCAGGGGCGTGACCTGGGATCCTGCGATCCCGCAGGGCATCTTCCTGTCGCCTCGCGACCCAGGCTTTCGGCATCCTCCGTTCAAGCGGGCTCACCGCTCCATACCATGAGGCAAATTGTTCACGATCCATCCGCGCGGACGAAGACGAGGTCGAGTTCACGACCCGTCTCAGTTCGGCCCACTCGTCGGAATTGCGCTGTTCCTATACTCAGCCTCCTTCTTCTTGCGCTGTTGCGCAAGCACGGTGGCGGGGGTTTGCCGCAGGCGGCTGGATATGTGTCGTTGGCTCCGTTGCTCAGTTGAGGCCGTGCGCCGAGCATGGCCTGATCGGTGCTGGATGATGCTCATGGAGGCCCGAGCCCCACCGCCGGTTTCCTCCTTTTCCTCCAGTGTTCCGTTCGTCCCACCCCCCTCCGTCGCCACAACCGAGACTGCGCGACCCCTGGCCGCTCCCCAACAAAAGCGAACCGTTCTGATCAGCGGGCCTCCAGAAGGAAACGCCCGCACGCTGCTGCTCACCTGCCAGACTAGTTCTGGATATGAAGCACACGGCCTCCACGTCCTGCTCCTCCGCCACTCCTGCTGCGACACGGACGTCTGACAGCCGAACATCATGAAGGCCCAGCAACGGGCAGAGACGGCGAGCAGAGAAAGGGGTAAGACGGAGACAGTGGGTGAAGAGAAAGGGAAAGCGAAGCTATATCCCCCTCGCCCGTCCCCATCCTCCTCGCCCTCCCGCTGGCTCTCTCCATCACCCCCTCTTCTCCTCGTCCCCTCCCATGGGCCTCCCCCCTCCTCATCTCCCTCCCAATCTCGACGCTCCCTCTGAAAGCCAACCTGCAGATCGAGACGCGCGTCTCGCAGAGGGCCAGGAGGAGAGAGAGGGAGAGAGAGAGAGAGATATATATATATATATATATAGAGAGAGAGAGAGAAGCAAAAGAACGCGAGAACACAGGTATGACGCAATTCAGAGTAGGAGTGGGAGGGGAGGGTGGGGCTGGCGGTCCTGTTATTTCCTCCACGCCGCTCAGAATAACGATGACCTCCAGATAGGGTATAGGAGGAGCTCCTCCTCCGTCCTGAAGGGAGCCACGGGCCCTTCTTCCACCTCCCTCTCCTCGTCCTCCTCCTCCGCCGCGGGGACAGCCGTGGCTTCTGTCCAAGCGCTTGCCTCCCAAGCGCTGGAAGTTGGCACCAACACTGACACAAGGGGTTGCCTCCACCAGGGGAGAATGATCCTGGATGTGGGTGCTGGTGGAACTCTCCCGGCCACCTCAGAAGCCCGCACACAGCCCCCGGCACCGAGATCAAGATCACCTTCCCTCGGCCCTCGGTGGAGGCGCCCGCCGACACTGCTATTGCTGCCAACCTCTGGGCCGGGCGAAAAGCCGCGTCGGGCACGGCGTCGGACATGTGTGCAAACCGCACGGTTGCCTCTTCCCCCCCCACCCTCTGCCCCCTCCACCTCCAGCCCAACTCCTCGGACTCATCGTTCTCCCCTCTTCCCTCCCTCTCTTCCTGTTCCTCACTCTTACCCCCCCTCATCCCTCTCGTGCTCCTTCTCCCCACCCTTGTTGATCCTCCTTCTTTCTCCTCCCCATCCTTCGCCTCATGAGGATGGCGCTCAGAGTGGTGCTCAGTCCCGTCGTCCGCGCTGCATCCGCCTGGCTTGGGTAGTTCATGCCAGGTCGTGTGGAGGCGTCACCTCCAGTACCATGTGGTGCGCGCTACTGGAAGTGCAGGGGCAGAAGCATCGGTCCTCGGGATCAACCAAACGTTCGAAAAGTCCCCCCATTCCCTTTCCGCCCCCTCCCTGACCGAAATCCTCTCGGTCTGTGGCGAAAGGGAGAGGCACAGTGTGAAGCGGGCTAGGGACCAAGAAGGAGCAGCCCTGAGCGGTACAGGGGGGAAAGAGAGAGGCCAGCGCAAGAGGGCGCCAGGCCGACTCGACCCTCCCGCCCCGCCCGCCAAATCGATAATTGCCATCCCCGCCATGTCGACGCTACGGCAGGGAACGGGGTAGGGAGGAGGAAGAAAGATAGGACAAACCAGAGGGAAGGACTGGAGAGTTGAACTGAACGGAGAAGATAAGTGCACACATATCTACATATAAATATATATATATATATACACAAAGCATTCGGGAAGTGAACTCTCCTGGGGACTGCGAGTCGACGTGGCGCCGTTCCCGGACTTGACCGACCGCGAGACGGGACTGAATGGACTCGATGTGGGCAAAGGGCCTGGCGGTGATGCCCCTCATGGCTGCGATGAGCTCCCCACCTGCTCTGGTAATGTCATCGCAACGCATCGCTGGAGGCAAGGCAGGGCGCCAACCTGCATTGACAATGCCATACCCAGGGCCCTCTCTTCTGACGCCTGGTGGTGTTCGCACAGCCGGCGATTTCATGGCAGTGCCGCTGCCTTTCGAGCAGATGCCGAGGAAATGACCTGCTGTCTGCAGTGGCGCGGGTGTCTGGGCGAGCTGCGTTTTCGCAGGTCGCATCTGCGCCTCCACTATTTAGGCGAACGAAGAATGACATAAACATAAAAACTCGGAGGTCCGCGCGGATTTCTCGGATCGGCGGTGGACCCCCTCCCTGGCACGCGGAGCGCGCCAAGGGCGGCGCCGCAGGCGCCGGCAGGGGGCCCCAGCGCCCACCCGAGAAATCCGCGCGGACCTCCGAGTTTTTTCTTGTTTATGACGTGGTTCGTACCCCGACCTGTTTTGCCTTCCGCAGGGACGCGGGCGTGGTCTTGGCAGGCCGCCGTGCCCGCGCCGTTGCCCACCCTCGCCTGCCGTGCGAACTCGGCCATCGCCTCGGTGCGGGCGGTGCGAGCGAGCCTGGGCCGCTAGCCCCCGTCGCGGGGGCTGCCGTCTGCCGCGGCTGAGTCGGGGCAGACGGTGCTGCCAGAGAAGACTCGGCGCTCGCGGACGCGTCATTGGCGCCTGCCACAGCGCCGCCGTCGCGTCGTTGTCATTCACCCGTTCGTGTGACATCAGGCGGGCCGTCTGTTCTTCGAGCGCGTCCATCTCTGCCTTGGCCACAACCGCCATGGCCCTGGACTGGTCCTTCACAAGCTGCCGGGCGAACGTGCCGAGCTGCTTCTTCCTGGTGTTCCACTGCTCGACCACGTGTCCGGCGCCTTCGATCTCACTGTCATCGAGGTCGAGGTCCAGCCGGTCGCCCTCCGTTGTAGTGGTGCCCTCGTTCTCGAGGAGACCTTTGAGGCTGATGCCAACTGCGTCGGTGGCCCCGTCCTTGAGCCGCGATGGGGCCAGGCTGGCGCGCACCTGCTCCTCCTTTGCTCCGGCTTCGGCAGGTGGGCGCCATGTCGCGCAGGTGCGAGCTCGCTTCTTCCCATTGCTGCCGGTGCTTCAACACTCCCCGTGGCACCATCGTGCTTGGTCCGACCCTTGTGGGCGGCCGCAATGGCACGGTGCAGGGCCGCTCTGGGCAAGACTGGGGGCGGTGGGCTCGGTGGGCGTGCGGCCAAGATTCTCTTCGAGGCCCCGCATCGTCTCGGGGCTGATTCGCCTGGTTCGGGCCGCCATCAGGGGCTCCGCCTCCAACTCGTCGGAGCCCACGCCCGACCACGCGTGCATCGTGACTGTGCCTCTTGCGCCGACGCTCTGCCTGCACCGTCGCGGTCCATTCTAAGCCAGTCCATCGGGCGGGCCCGAACCACAGACAGGCCCACTGTGATGAGGAGGCGGCGGGGCCGATGGCCCCAGTGGGAGCGGCGGCAGCAGAGCGACAGGCGAGGGCCAGGGGCAGAAGATGCTGGCCGCAAAGGGAGGAGGAGGAGGAGGAGGAGGAGGAGGGAGGAGGAGGGAGGAGGAGGAGGAGGAGGAGGAGGAGGAGGAGGAGGAGGAGGAGGAGGAGGAGAGAGGAGGAGGAGGAGGAGGGGGAGGAGGGGAGGAGGGGGAGGAGGGAGGAGGCGGCATCGTCCAAATAGACTCGGGGGCAGGCGGCTGGCACGCTCAAGCGGCCGTGGGGGAGGTTGGGGGGGGGAGGGGTCCCGGGGGCTGTGACCGCCTCCCCGGGAGGATCACCCCTCCCCTGGGGGGGAAGCTTTCGGCTCCAGAGCGCCAGCGTCGTCGTCGTCGTCCTGCAGGGTCGCGGCACCAGCCGCAAGGCCTTCGCAATGGCTTTGGAGGCAGGCGGCTGTCACCATCAGCCTTGGAATCGCTGAAGCCTCGGTGGCACAGATGGCTTGACCGCGGCACCGCACCCGAAGCACGCCTCCCGCGCGCGCGCCAGATCCACGCGGAACTGCGCAGCCGACACGGCACATGCGGTCAGGAACTTTGGGATAGCGTGTCGCCGCGGCGGCCCCGACGACATGCTATAGCTTGTAAGCAGGTGGCGTGTCGCTCTGCTCCGCAGGGCGGGAGGCTGGGAAAAACTCGAGACGCTGACGCCTCGGGACTGGGAAGTGGATAGCGTGTCGCGCCGAAACGTGGTATGCCAGAACAAGCGGAGCTACACGCTATCCAAAAAGTTCCCGACCGTTTTGCTGCTCCTTTGCCATGATTGTGACGGGTGCCCCTGCAGAAGCTCACGGATCGAGTGCGGCTTCGCGAGGGACGGACATTGCGAAACTCATGTCTGGGACTGGCCAGGCGAACTTCCGAACTCTGCCAGGGATCATCGCTGTCCACTTCTCCCATGGATGGAGCCTGGAGTCGCGAGCCAAAAACGGGCATGGAGAGAATGAGGGAGGGTGGAGGGAAGGAGGGGGAGGAGGGAGGGGGGGAGGGGAAGAGCCAGGGGAGGGGAAGAGGGAGGGCAGGGCGGGGAGGAAGGGGAAGGGGGAGGAAGGGGAAGGGGAAGAGGGAGGGGAAGAGGGCAGAGGGCGGAATAGAAGGAGGGGAGGGGGGAGAAAAGGGGAGGGGAAAGGAAGAGGTGAGGGGAAGAGAGGAGGGGAAGAGACAAGCTAGGCGCGCTCGCGTCAGATCTGACGTCCTACCCCTCCCGTCCATCCCTTACCACGGCGTAGATCTCCTCTCTATTCGCACATTCGGATGTCGCAACATGGCATAGCATTACATGCCATAACATGGTGTTGAAGATCAAAACGTAGCATGGCATAGCATGACGTGGCGACGCCCCAACGGGGGGGGCTTCTGCGGCCCAACAATTCAACGAATCGGCACCGAATGTGATCACTTCCGAGGATTTTCGGGAGGCCATGTTCTAGGTTTTGGGGTCTTCTTGGAAGGACCGAAAACCATGCCGTGGCATGGCACGGAAAATGACGACGCCAGCGCTGCAGTGGGAGCACGATTCGGGACGAGCGGAAATGCGATAATGAGGCCAGCGCTGGAGCGGGAGCACGCGTCGGAACGAGCGGTAGCCCGAAACTGAAGCCAGCGCTTCAGTGAGAGCAGCACTTGAAACGAAGGACGCGTAGCCTGACATAGCATGGCGTGGCGACGCCCCAGTGGGGGGGGGTTCGGCGGCCCTGAAAACCAACGAATCGGCACCGAATGTGTAATCACTTCCGGTTTTGTTTTCGGGGGGCATTTTCTGGATTTTGGTGCCGATTTGGAAAGATCGAAAACCAACCCGTGGCATGGCGATGGAAATCCGCCGATCCGGCGTGTGAGTTTCTGAGAGCGTGGACTTGAGCTCGCTCAAGCTTCGCTCTGCAGGGGGGGGGGGGGGTACACGTTATTTCCGACGTCATTTCCGACGTTTTTCGGTAAAGGGGGATATTTCCGACGTCATTTCCGACGTTTTTCGGTACCCGGGGAGAGGGGGGTATAGAAAACTCCACTTCCGGAGCCACCCCGGATCGGCGGCACTGGCCGGAGGCCAGCCCAATAATGACGCCAGCGCTGCAGCGGGAGCACGATTCAGAATGAGCGGTAGCCCGAAAATGATGCCAACGCTTCAGCGAAAGCAGCATATTGAAAGAGAAAACCAAAGCAAATACACTTGAGAAAACCCCAATCAGCGGATGATTTGAAAATTGATACTATGGATCGTGAGATCGATTGTAAGATCGAGAATGAGATCGATAGTGGAATCGATCGTGAGGACGATTGTAACGTCGATCGTGAGACCGAGAGTGACATCGATTCAATGAGACCGAGAGTGAGATCGATCGCGAGATCGTTCATGCGATCTCTAGTGAGATCGCTTGTGAAATTGATAGTGAGATCGATTGTGAGATCGATGGTGAGATCGATCGAGAAGTCGGTAATGAGATCGATGGTGAGACCGATCGATAAGATATTGACCAGGAACCCGAGAACACGGGAACCTCGCCGCCCTCCGAAATCGGCCCAGAACCCGGAACCCGGAACCCGGGAACCCGGAACCGGGAACCTGGGAACCCAGCGTGCGATCAAAATCGGCGGGGCGCTTTCGACAAATTCTTCAACATCCGCAAGGACCCCGTCAGTGCAAGCACTGATTGGTGAGCATTGAATGAGATCCGTGATAAACTCGACAGTGAGATCGGTAGTGAGATCTTCAACCATCGGCCTGGAACCAATGATCAGGAACCTGGGAAACCATCAGCCCGGAACCAATGACCAGGAACCCGGGAACCCCAGAACCCGGAACCGGGAACCCAGCGTGCCACCAAAATCGGTGAGGTACTTTCGCCAACTCTAGCAACATCCGCGAGGACCCCTTCAGTGCAAGCACTGATTAAGGAAAAAACAACTCCCAGGAATCCTGCGTGAGAAAATTGGGGGGTGAAAGTGGGGGTCGGGCGCAGGGTCCCGGCAATGGTGTCTTTATGGGCCATGAATGGGCGATACATCCTCGAGTGCTGCATTCGGCGGGGGAACCAATTGAAGCTCCCCGCCTGCACCCATGCGCGAGACTTGAAGGGAAACGAAGCAAGGGGGCGGGGGGTTCGGGAAAGGCGACGAAGGCAACATGCGCTGAGGGCACAAAAAGAAAAGGTTGGAATAAACGAAAGCGGTGAGGTGAGTGTCAAACTCTGCCCAGCCAATCAGACATGCGGAACACTGCGCCTCAGTTTTGGGGATCTTGGAGGCCAGGGCAACATGTGCATTCACACTGTGGAAAAAGCAAAATGAGAATTCACATGTTTGGAAAAAAGAGAATGTGAATTCACATTTTAGAGCAAAAGGCAAACGTGACTTCACATTTTGGAATTTTGGGTAGGAAAAAGAATGAAAGGGCCAGAATGTGAATTCACATTGTGGGGGGAAAACAAAATTTGAATTCACATGTTGGGAAGAAGAAAAATATGAATCCACATTTTGGGAGAATCGCGGGGCCCATTCCAAATCTGTCTTGGGAATCGTTAAGTCATCGTTTGGGAACATATGCGATCATCAGTCGCACAATCAAGACACACTTGCACTCCACTTCGCTGCCCCACGCGCAATATGCAAGAACGCCCGCACGCATGAACGATAATGGATGGACGGCGCGTGTGCCCGCGCGGGCAACGCGCGGGCACGAACGCTGGCCCTCCATGACCGCCCACATTGGATGCCAATCGTACCCGATCACATACATGAGCGATACATTGAGCATACATGGGCCATTCTGTCCCCATTGAAGACTCCCTGTTGCAGACCCGCTCTTTCACCCTCCAAGAAAAAACAGTACGCGGAGGGGGGCCGGACATTTCCCAGACGCCACCAGGGGAGAGAGGAGGGTACTATTCATGTTGTCTAACTGCGCAAGGGGAAGAGGGGAGGGGAGGGGAGGGGAGGGAGGGCAGGGCGTAGAGGCATGGAACGGGGGAGGACGGGAGGGGGTGGGCGGGCAGGGCAGGCGAGGGAGCAGGCGCGGCAGCTCCTCCTGGCCCCATATGTTAGCGTAGACCTCCTCTGGCGTCGGGTCCCTGTCGCCTTGCTGCGGCCGTGGCGCTCTCCGAAAAGGGCTGCGGCGGGCTGGGCGGTCGGCGAGGGCATGGCAGGGGCGATTGTAGAGGCCTCCTCGTCCTCCTCCTCCTCCTCCTCCTCCTCCTCCTCTTCCTCGTCGCTGGTTCTCCTCCTCCTCCTCCTCCTCCTCCTCCGCTTCCTCCTCCTCCTCCTCCTCCTCGCCCGCGATGGGGTCCGAATTGCTGGGGTCGGAGGATCGCGCCGCATCGTCGATGCATCGCCGATGCATCGGCGATGCGTCGGCGCCAGCTCCTTCCTCAACACTCGTTTTTGTGTTTTGTTTGTTTCTCCTCTCTCTCTCCTTCCTCCTCTCCCGCCTCCTCCTCTCCTCTCCTCCTCTCCTCTCCTCCTCCCTCTCCCCTCCTCCTCCTCCCTCCCCTCCCTCCCCCTCCCCCTCCCTCCCTCCTCCTCTCTCCTCCTCCTCTCCTCTCCTCCTCCTCCTCCTCCTCCTCCTCCTCCTCCTCCCTCCCCCCTCCCCCTCCCCTCCCTCTCCTCTCCTCCTCCTCCTCCTCCTCCTCCTCCTCCTCCTCCTCCTCCTCCTCCTCCTCCTCCTCCTCGCTCGTCCTCCATCGCTTGCGCCCCTTCCCTGGGAAACAAAGGTCCTGTGGGGGAGACCACAAGGTACCAATACCGCTGCTCCCCGGACCTCTTCTGGGGTGCGTTCTGACCAGGATTTCGAAGCGAATCCAGCGGTGGCGACGAGGGCCTCCCAGGAGGCGGGAAAAAGGGAAAACAGGCGAAAAGGTGGAGGTATGGGAACCTTTCCCTCCTCTGACCTGTGCGGGGGAGGAGGGCGGGGCTGCAGTCGGCCTTCGCCTTCGCCGTTTGCGACGGGATCTATGTGCCTGGCCCGTCCTGGGCCCAGGGATGTGTACTCGAAGAAGAAAAGCGGCATACACATAAACTCTTGGCGCTCCGCGCAGATTTCTTGGATCCGCGCTGGGCCCCCCTGGCGGCGCCTCCGGCGCCGCCCCTGGCGCGCTCCGCGCGCCAGGGAGGGGGGGGGGATCCAGCGCGGATCCAAGAAATCCGCGCGGAGCGCCGCATGTTTGTGCTCATGCCGCTTGCTTCTTCTATGTATACGCCTCTCTGGCCAAGCCGGGACGCTGTAGACGCCGTCCCTGGGCCCAAGTTGGGCCAGGTCTCGGGGAGTGGATATGTACAGATCCCGTCGCCCGTCGAGTGGACTCGGAACGTGCGTCGGATCGGGCTGCATCCGCCCCGGAGTCGAAGTCAAATCGGATCGGCCGTGCCAGGACGCACACCAAGGCCATGCGAACACCGGGCCAGACTGGGCCGTCGGAGCATCGGAACCGAGCCGGATCGGGCGGGCCGAAATGGACCGTGCCTGGGAGGGAGCCTGCGCCTGCGTCCTGGGTCGTCCCGGGGGAGCTTTGAGGGCCAGCCGAGACAGGAGCGCGGCTCTCTCTCTCTCTCTCTCTCGCGTTCGTCGAGTTTGGGGGGCCTCCCGGAAGCTTTTCGTCGCCAGCTGGACTCGCCTCGTGGAACGGGTCCCCAGACATCCGCCGAGATGATTGTTTCAACCTGCGGCCCCAGAAGTCCCGACCCCTTCCCCGGGGGTGGTTTCTCGTCCTGGATATTTTTGTGAATAACGGGCCAGGAAAAACCGCCAGATTGAAAAAATCAACCCTCGGATCTCTGGGTCTGGATGGACTCGGGAGGGGCCCAGGGACCGGGGACCCATTTAGAGCGGACTCGGGCCGAGCAGTAACGCTGCCTCTGTCTATAAACTGGCCCTCCTCTGGGGGACGGCCCTTCGCGGGTGCTGTAGGTGGTGGCGCCAGGGCCGCAGAGTGGAAGACAGATCCTGGCCGACTCGGTCCTCCAATATGGCTGAATACAATCAAACCGTAATTAAGGATGCAAGGGCCTTGGAAGGCCATGTTGACACTTTGCGAGCAGGCCGCGGCCAGCTGAAGCGGCCAAGGATGGACCGAGGAGGCAAGGCTGCAACGGTACCCTTGGGAAGGCTGCCGCCCCTCCTTACTCTGCGGGTTGACTGTACGGCTGGATATGACTCCAATACGGCCCAACATGCCCTCCAGACAGCCCACGAAGCCCCAGCAGGGCTCCGAGAGGACCTCCAGAGGGCCAAAATCATCTGTCTCCCCTCATGGGTTTCAGAAGTGTTCGTGGTCTCGATGCTTCGGGCTTCAGGTAAAGCGCGAAAAGATTGCCACGCGACGGCCCAGGAAGGCCTCCAAGACGGCATCCGACTGCCAAAAGGTCCCTTAGCACCCAGAGGCCCCAAGAGGTCCCCGAGAGAGGCACTCGAAGCTGCCTCCGAGGGGCCCTGGAGGCTCCCAGAAGGCTCCCAGGAAGCCCCCAGAAGACCCCAAGAGGGCCCCGACACGAGGTTTCCGTTGGGTTTCCAAGACGGCTGGGGGGAACACATTGTCCAATAGCTCGGCCAAGCTTTGGTCGACCCTTTGGCCACGTCGTCTTTTCTAGAAAGACAGAGGGCGGCGATGGTTCGCCGAAGGCGTCTTCGACATACGTGTTGCAACTCAAGCGGGCAAACGTGTGAGGTGCAGTATGTGCTGTGCAATATGTGAGCATCTGTAATGCGATCACTATGGTGTAGCCTGGGCGGTGCACCACAGGGCACCCTATTGCAGAAAGGGCGCCCACCATAGAGCACCACGCGGCATCAACGGCGCAAACGCGTGGCGGCGAGCCGAAAAAAACACGCCCAACGGCTTCGAAACCACATCCGACTCACGAACTCCTTCAACCAATGTTTGGATAATCGATGGCAACGTGAACAAAAGAGAGAGAGAGAGAGAGAGAGAAGGGAGATGAGGGGTGGGGGAGAAGGAGGATCAGCAGGAGCAGCAGCAACGAGGCAGCAGCACAGGGGACGAGCAGGAGGCGAAGCACGAGGAACAGACTTAAGGAGAATGGACGAGGAGCACGAGGAGAAAACAAGGGATGAGGAAGTCTCCTGCTGTCGCCACCACGGCCGCGGCAGGCGGCCAGCGGCCAGCAGACCGGGGCATGCAGGAGCACGGCTCGCGGAGGGGTCGCCGAGCTGCGGCAGGAGAGGCAGGATGAACAGGGGAACAAGAAGTGGCATGAACACATGACATGAATAGGGGAACAATAAGTGAATAGGGGAACAAGAAGTGACATGAATAGGGGAACAAGAAGTGGCATGAACATAAAAGCTCGGAGGTCCGCGCGGATTCCTCGGCTCGGCGCTGGATCCCCCTCCCTGGCGCGCGGAGCGCGCCAAGGGTGGCGCTGGAGGCGCCGCCGGGGGGCCCCAGCGCCGATCCGAGAAATCCTCTGTTCCCCTAATGAAGAGCAGCATCGGGGGAACGAGGGGGACCGGGGGAAGGCGAGGAGGACACGGAGCAGCAGCAACAGCAGCAGCAGCAGCAACACGACAAGCAGGAGCAGAGGCTCATTCTCCCGCCCCTCGCCCGCGGGGCCGGCCCGTTTCGCACGGGCCCCGCGAGGCCGCCGCAGCGGCGCGGCCTCCCCTCCCGGCCCCAGCCTCCGGCCCGCCGCGAGGCCCTGCGCGATGCACACGTGCTGGTCCCACGTGCTCTTGAGGGGGTGGTAGGCCGCCCACCGCTGGTCGGTGCAGCCGTGGTCGGCGCGGTGGCAGCTCTTGTCGCTCACCAGGAAGAGGTCCTCCACGGAGCCGACCCCGAGGAGGTCGAGGCAGTGCTCCGCGAAGTAGTCCTCGCTCCACCCCGCCCACGGCAGCTCGTGGTAGCAGAGCTGGATGCCAGCCGTGTAGGCCCTCAGCGCGGGCAGCGAGAGCACCTCGACGGCCCCCAGGAAGTGGAACTCCGCGCCGAAGCAGTCAGCGTTGCGGACGTACAGCAGGAGCGATGCGTCGAAGGCTGCCAGGTGGGAGCGGAGGCGCCCAGCCAGGACCACCGCGTCTGGGTCGACCTTGACGGTCCAGGCTCTCGCGGCCGTGCGGGGGTCTGCGGCGACCTCCTTCCAGAGCCGCACCCACGTGGGAGTGTTGAGCCACGAGTTGGTGGTCTGCCCGTCCTCGGCGTAGTGGCCCTTCGCGTGCGGCATCGGCAGATCTGGCACGGCGGATGTGGTCACCACTCTGCCGAGTGGCGTGGTTCCCAGTGTCAGGTTCCTCGAGCCGCTGCTGTAGACGCCGAAGTCGTCGCAGCCGAAAACGCCGACGCCCTGACGGAGCTGCGCCGACAGCAAGGCCTGCTCCGCGCCGCTGGGCCACATGAGGCAGAAGCAGAAGAGCGTGCCCGAGACGACCGTGGCACGGCTCTCCGGAGGGCCCTGTGGCCCCCCGTCGCTCGCCATGGGGCCGATGCTCGTCGCTGCTGCCTTGGCGGTAGCGTTGCGCGGCAGTCTGTAGCCTCCCCAGGCGGCCAGCGTGGTCGTGGTGGTCGTCGTCGAGGCCCGCGTGGACGCAGTGCTAGTTGACTGCGCAGACGCAGTGCCAGTGTGCTCCTTCGCCTCGGCGCGCGCGGCGAGCGCCGTTGGTGCCACCGCCTCGGGGCGCTTCTCTCGGCTGTGCACGGCGGTGGCCTCCACGGCTTGACTGCCGGGTGGCATCACACAGAGCCTGCCGTGACCTGGCCCTTGTCGTGCGCACGCGTCCAGAGCAATGATCGTGGCCGTGGCCGCCGCCAGGAGGAGCCCTGCAGCGGTCCAGGCAACGCACCGCCGCCGAGACGCATCCCTGCTGGCCTTCACGTCGCTGGGAGGCGCGACTTCGAAGCCGTCGCCGATCGGCTCGTCGTAGAGCGGCGCGCGTGAGGTGACGAGCTCCTCAAGCAGCTCGTCCTCCTCGTCCTGCGGCAGCTCGGTGTAGAAGTGGGGCGCGGGCTGGCTCACCCCGGGGCGGATGGCATCAGCGTGCGGCATGGCCCATGGCGTGGCGGCGCGCGGCGGCCACAAACGGCCGGCGGGGTCCAGCGCGGAGCCAGGGACGTGCGCGAGCCATCGGCTACGGAGGAGGACGACGAGAAAGGGAGCCTCCCCCCGTTCATGGCCCCACCAGGTGCCGCGTTATACCCCCTTCCCCCACCTCCCCTCCGCCCTCTCCCCTGGGAGGGGAGCGCGGAGAGGGGACGTACGAAGCGCCCCTCTTTCGGCGTCCTCGGCCGCTGGTCACAGGTCGTGCTGCCGCCACTGGGCCAAGTCCTTCCTTCCTCCGAGCCTGCAAGATCTACGCGGCGGACACGAACCTTAGAAGAACGAGCAGCGTAAACATACGCTTTTGGCGCTTCTCTCGGATTTCTCGGATCAGCGCTGGACCCCCCTCCCTGGCGCGCGGAGCGCGCCAGCGCCGCCAAGGGAACCCAGCGCGGATCCAAGAAATCCGCGCGAAGCGCCACACAGTTCATGGTTATGGCGTTGTTTCTTCTTCGAGACCTGCTTTCCTCCCCTCCTCCCAGCGCCAGAACCCCCGACTGCAGCGCGGTAAGGGGGCAGAGGGAGGGTGCAGAACACAGGGGGAGGCGGGAGGGCGAGGAGAGGGGAAGCACCACGCGAGCCACGCGAGGCGGGAAGGTGAGGCGAGGAAAGGTGGGAGAGCGGATCTGTATTTAGGTCGTGCATTTCCTCCTACAAGAAGATTTTGGAAGACAGCTGTACAAGCCACCCAAACATTTCAAATGTTGTCAAACGTAATTGAAAACACCGCCCCCAGAATATATTTCCCAACCAACCTGTTGTTGGGTCCTCGCATTGAACACAAGGTCCCGCGTTCCTCCTTCCTCCTTCCTCCTTCCTTCCTTCCTTCCTCCGCCTTCTCTCCATCCCTTCTCCCATTCCTGCCTTTGTCGCCCCCGCCCAGCACTCGTTTCGCGCCCCCACAGGGAGCTCCACCGAAGGCCTGAGTCGCTGCGCTCGCATGCGCCCACCGCACCCACTTCGGCACACCCCATCACATGCTTCGTGGCCCTATAGGGAGGTCCACCGAAGGCCCCAGTGGCTGCGTTCGCATGCGCCCACCGCACTCATTTTGGCACACCCTCATAAGTTCCGTGGCCCCATGGGGAGCTCCACCGACGGACCTAGCGGCTGCGTTCGCATGCGAACGCCGCACCCATTTTGGCACACCCCTCACACGTTTCGCGCCCCCTCGGGAGCTACACCGACGGCCCCAATGACTGCGCGCGCATGCGCCCAACGCACCGCGCCCATGTTTGGCACGCCCCACGCACACGTTTCGTGGCCCATGGGGAACTCCATCGACGGCCCGCGTGGCTGCGTCGCATGCGCCCACCGCACCCATCTTGGCACAGCCCGCACACGTTTCGTGGAGCTCCACCGAGGGCCCCAGTGGTTGCGTTCGAATGCGCCCACAGCACACATCCTGGCACACCCCTCACACGCTCCGTGGCCCCATGAGGAGCTCCATCGACGGCCCCAGTGGCAGCGATCCCATGCGCCCACCGCGCCCATTTTGGCACACCCCTCATACGCTCCGTGGCCCCATAGGGAGTTCCACCGACGGCCACAGTGGCTGCACTCGCACGCGCCCACCGCACCCATTTTCGGCACACCCCTCACATGCTTCGTGGCCCCACAGAAAGCTCCATCGACGGCCCAATGGCTGCGTTCGCACGCGCCCACAACACCCATGGTGGCACATCTCTCACACGCTTCGCTGCCCTATAGGTAGCGCCACCGACGGCAACATTGTCTGCGTTCGCATGCGCCCACCGCCGTTCGCATGCGCCCACCGCACCCATTTTGGCACACACACACACACACATACATGCACCTCGTACGTTTCGCGGCCCCTTCGGGAGTTCCAACGACGGTCCAAATGCCAGCTATCGCATGCGCCCGCCGCATCAATTTTGGCACACCCCTCACACGTTTCGTGGCCCCACAGGGAGCTCCACCGACGGCCTCAGTGGCTGCGTTCGAATGCGCCCACAGCGCTCATCCTGGCACACCCTTCGCCGGTTACGTGGCCCCACAGGGAGCTTCACCGAAGGTCCACATGCCAGCGATCGCATGCGCCCACCGCGCCCATTTTGGCACACCCCTCACACGTTTCTTGGCCACACAGGGAGCTCCACCGTCGGCCCCAGTGGCTGCCCACCGCGCCCATTTTGGCACACCCCTCACACGTTTCGTGACCCCACAGGGAGCTCCACCGACCGCCCCAGTGGCTGCGCTCGCATGCGCCCACCGCACCCATTTTGGTAACCCCTTCCACGCTTCGTGGCCCGATAGGGAGCTCGATCGACACCCCACTGGCTTCACTCGCATGCGCTCACCGCGCCCACGTTGGCACACCTCGCATACGCTTCGTGGCCCCACAGGGGGCTCCACCCATGGTCCACATGCCAGCGATCGGATGCGCCCACCGCACCTATTTTGGCACACACTCCGCACGAGTTGCGTGGCTCCACAGGAAGCTCCACGGACGGCCTCCGTGGCTGCGTTCGCATGCGCCCACCGCACCCATCTTGGCACACCCCTCGCACGTGTCGTGGCCCCCAAAGGGAGCTCCACCGACGGCCCCAGTGGCTGCGTTCGCATGCGCCCACCGCGCCCATTTTGGCACACCCCTCATACGCTTCGCGGCCCCACAGGGAGCACCACCGACGGCCCCAGTGGCTGCGTTCGCATGCGCCCACCGCGCCCATTTTGGCACACCCCTCATACGCTTCGCGGCCCCATAGGGAGCACCACCGACGGCCCCAGTGGCTGCGTTCGCATGCGCCCACCGCGCCCATTTTGGCACACCCCTCACTCGTTTCGTGGCCCCACAGGGAGCACCACCGACGGCCCCAATTCGCATGCGCCCGCCGCACTCATGTTGGCACACCCCTCACTCGTTTCGTGGCCCTACAGGGAGCACCACCGACGGCCCCAATGGCTGCTTTCGCATGCGCCCGCCGCACTCAATTCTGGCAAATCCCTCACACGCTTCGTGGCCCATTGGGAGCTCTTCCGAATGCGGTGCATACATCGACGGTGCTCACGACTGCAGATGGTTGGGTCTTTCGCCAGGCTATTTTTTCTGCGGGCGTTGAGGCTATGGCAGAAACGTGCGATGCTGTATATATATATATATATATATATATATATATATATATGTATATGTATTGCCTCGTGATGCACACATTTAGTCTACCTTTGAAGGTCCTGAGCATCTGGCGCGGGCACGATTTATGTCCATACCCACAGCGTCTTGGACTTCCTGGGCAGGTGCGCCAAGAGGCCGAGGCGCAGTGTATGCGGTTATGGCGTGGTTTAATTACGCCGACGGTGTGGCTATGGCGGACGCATGCGATGATATCTAGATTGCCTCGCGGTGCACACATCGTTCGTCGATCTTTGAAGGTCCTACGAGGTGCCCCAGGGCTTCCGTGTGGGCCCCTGGGGGCCATCGGGGGAAAATGCATGTCTCCGCGAATGGATGTCCATACCCAGGCGCGCCAGCAGGCCGAGGCGCAGTGGATATGGACACAACATTCAAGGCTTCAAGGGCCAGATGCGCATCCATGTCCACTGCGCCTCTGGTTTCTGAGGCTGGGAGCCCGAGACTCCAAGGCGCAGTGGATATAGATACACATCTTCCCTGCACCTGCTGGCAGGCCGATTGCTTATTCGACGTGCTCATCGCAAGCGAAGAGAAAGTGGCGCGCTGCGGCGCATCTCATCTGGTACCGGTTGCACGGCGCGAGCGGGCTGTACCTGTCTATCGTGTGGGACACCTGGCCGGCCGCAAGGGGCGGACGGGCGGGCCTGGGCGGAGGACGACCTGGAGGACCGAGGAAGAGCAGGGGCAGGGGAGAGGACGAGCAGGAGTACTGAGGAGGAGGACTGAGGAGACGGCGTGGGGAGGAGGCGGAATGACGCAGAGGACGAGCCGAACAGGGGAAGGATTATGATGATGAGGATGAGGAGGAGCAGGAGCGCAAGGGGCAGAGAAGGATCCGCAGGCTAAGGGTGGCCGCATCTAGCCCAGGAGGACTCGCGAGGTGCCCACGCTGAGAGTGCGGCGCCACAAGCCCCACCTTTCTCGTCCTCCCCCGTCCCACTCCCTCCTCGTCCTCCCCGTCGTCCTCGTCCACGTCTTCCTCCCGACGACGGCCCTGGCCTGGCGAGCCACGGAGGTGGAGTCGGGAAGGGGTGCAGGCGCGGCGGCTGGGGACATGCCCGAGCCCACGGCGGCAGCCGCCCCGAACCCCATGGCACGCCGCGGCCCGGGGGATGCCAGCGACCCTGCCGCAACCGCGGCTGGCACGAAGCGGGTCGCGCCGGGACCGCTGGCGGGCATGGCCGCGCTGGCTGCCCCGCCCGCGCCTGGGGCTGGCAGCGGGCCTGTGCCCGGGCAACTGCTCCCCTGGCCGGCGGCCCCGGCGGCCGGTTTTCTGCTGTCGGGGGGGCGCAGGCATGGGCGTGGCGCGCGGTCGCCCAATCCCCACGGCCCTCCCCAAAGTGCGGCCGGTGCCGCCTCGCTCGGCGGCGGAAGTCCGCGATTTCCCGGGGAAGCGGGGCCCGTCGCCCATCCGCGCCCCTATTGATCCAGACTTACGATCGCCTGGTGCTTGTCGCGAGGCGGCGGGCGGCGGCCGCCCCTGGGCCCGCGCCCGAGGGGCCGAGGGGCCAGCACGCCGCGGGCGCTGCTGGCTGGCCGACTGCCGTGCGGAGGCGAGGTCGGCGCGCCACGCTCGGCATGCGAGGGGCATGCGGGTGCCGACTCCTCGTCCTGGAAATCGAATATGGTTCCTCCTCCTCCTCCTCCTCCTCCTCCTCCTCCTCCTCCTCGCCCACATGCCCCTCCTCCTGCTCGTCCTCGTCGTCCTCCCCGTCCCCAGCCCTCCCACCCCCTCCTCGCCCCGCTTACGCTGACGCTGGCACATGTTTATGTGCCGACCACTTGTACCCGCCACCCCCCTCGCACCTGCAAGTTTTAGCGGGCCACTGGGCGAGGGAGACCGCGGGTCGGAGCCGAGCGAGAAGAGGCGGGAGAGGGATGGGATACTTCGTGCCGCTGCTGCTGGTTGTCCTCCCCTCCTCCTCCTCCTCCTCCTCCTCCTCCTCTTCTTCTTCTTCTTCTTCTTCTTCCTCCTCCTCCTCCTCCTCCTCCTCCTCCTCCTCCTCCTCCTCCTCCTCCTCCTCCTCCTCCTCCTCCTCCTCCTCCTCCTCCTCTCCTCCTCCTCCTCCTCCTCCTCCTCCTCCTCCTCCTCCTCCTCCTCCTCCTCCGCCTCCTCCTCCTCCTCCTCCTCCTACTCCTCCTCCTCCTCCTCCTCCTCCTCCTCCTCCTCCTCCCTCCTCCTCCTCCTCCTCCCTCTCCTCCTCCTCCTCCTCCCCTCCCCTCCTCCTCCTCCTCCTCCTCCTCCTCTCCTCCTCCTCCTCCTCCTCCTCCTCCTCCTCCTCCTCCTCTCTCCATGCATTCCCCCCGCGCCCGAGCCGCAGAGGTCGCGTGCCAGCGGCCTGGGTCCGCTGGGATTGCGCTCCGGCGGTGGCCAGGTGCCTCAACGCGTCAGTGTGTTGCTGTTGGGCCACGGTGTGTCCGGTTCTGCTGATAGTCAGTGACGTCAGTGATGGAGCCTTAGTCCTGGCACGAGCATTCCCGTCGGCCTCACTTCGTCGCCCTCATCCTCCCCGGAATCATGGTCCATGTCTCTCCCTCGGTGTGTCGGCGTGCTGCAGGTCGTGGAGCCGCAGTCGGGGCAAGTGAGTGCCACTGGGGAGGAGGGGGGCGGACGCAGCAGCCTGATGCCAAGCTCGACGAAGCCATCGCGAAGCCACTGAGCTGCTTCCAACGCTTTGCACACGAGTGAGGCAGAAGCAGAAGGAAGACCAGCCAGATAACCAAAGACACGAACATGCCCTGCGCGTATCCAGCCCATGGTTGCCGAAACGACGCGTTAAGCCAAACTGACCAGCCCGAATTGGACTGTAGATAAGCAGAATAAGAAGAAGACACAGAAGAAGGAACAGAGGGAGGCGACATCACGGTGAAGGACAACTGGCACGACGCTGTGTGGAATTTCCTGGGCCCAAACGGCCAAGACAAAACATCCAGCGCAACATAAAATATGAAAGGATGAGGAGGACGAGGAGGTGGTGGAGGAGAAAGAGGAGGAGGAGGAGGAGAAGGAGGAGGAGGAGGAGGAGGTAGGGGGAGGGAGGAGGAGGGGGGTGAGGAGGAGGCGGAGGAGGAGGAGGAGGAGGAGGAGGAGGGAGGAGGAGGAGGAGGGAGGAGGAGGAGGAGGAGGGAGGAGGAGGAGGAGGAGGAGGAGGGGAGGAGAGGAGGAAGGAGGAGGAGGAGGAGGAGGAGAGAGGAGGAGGAGGGAGGAGGAGGAGGAGGAGGAGAGGAAGAGGGAGGAGGAGGAGAGGAGGAGGAGGAAGAGGAGGAGGAGGAGGAGGAGGAGAAATGGGCAGAGCAGCAACACTGGACTGGAAGGAGGCGAGGCTGACCCCACAACTCACAAGAGGCCCATGGCTCACTGCCGCGCCGATCGCGGCAGGACAACGCGGGTTCAAAGGGCAGGAGGAGGAGAGTGGGAAAAAGAGGGACGGGAGAAGAGGAGGAGGAGAGGGAGGAGGAGAATGGGAAAAAGAGGAGGAGGAGGAGGAGGAGGAGGAGGAGGAGGAGGAGGAGGGGCGGGAGCCGAGGAAGAGGCTCGCATACTACGCAGGCTGGCGCGCGGGAGCGCCGCCAAACGCCCTACCCCAAATTTCACTGCGATCGGGGGTGCGGCCGCGCGGTTCCACGCAAAACGCGCCCCTGAAGAAAACATGATCCGTCTGACGCTGCGCAAGGCCGTGCCCTAGCTGACCGTGTCCTGCGCAGCACATACAAGCCCAAGCTTCGGAGCACGCACCGCTCAGTCAATGTCAGCGCTGGGCTCTCCCACGAGCCTGTGATGTCCAGCGCGATCCCGATGAACGCGTCCATCGCCTGGTCCAAGGACGGCCAGGACAGTCCCAGAAAGCGGGATCACATCGAGTGATAGCGTCCACTAAAGCGTGATACTCGATCGAATTCACGGCGTGGCAGCCCAACAAACAACGGCCCCGTCCCTGGAACCGCCTCGACGTCGACCACCCGTTGAACGCGATGCAGATGTAGGTCGCGATGACGCGGGGAAGTACGAGCTTGGCAAGGCTCCAGCCACCTGTCCACCCTATGTCCAGCATGCGCTGGGTTCTGCCACAAGTCTAATCGCCTGCGCAGGTGCGCAAAGGATGCGGCCAATCTGTTGGGGCGCGGGAGGGCGGACGCTCGAGCTTGCCGTCCTAATTTTTGAAATTCGCGATGCCCCGCCAGCGCGAGAGATCGACTTCCGCCACTTCCGGCGTGAACGTAGGAGACCGCCGACCCCAGGGAGAACAGGCAGCAGGTGCAGTACCAGTGACTGTAGAAACGACGTCTGGCGCCTGCTGATCGTACTCCGTGAGGTGCCGGATCTCCGCGGCACGGTGGTTGACATGGAGGCCTCCGCGCGTTCCGCTCTCGCGCAGCACGACGCGGGCCCAAGCGGCAACCGCCGAAGATGAGAAGCCAAGCCGCTCCAGCAGAACGCCAAAGTGTTTCGAGTTCTTCAAGAACGGAGCTCTGACCCAACCAGGCGACACCACAAAACAATCTCCCCAGCGCCTTGCGCTCCACTTCGCCGAACGCCTCTGGTGAGAAGTCAAGCCGCTCCAGCAGAAAGCCAAAGTGTTTCAAGCTCTTCAAGAACTGAGCTCTGACCCAGCCAGGCGACACCACAAACAATCTCCCCACCACCTTGCGCTCAACTTCGCCGAACGCCTCTGTGAAGGGGTCAACCTGCGCGCAGGCCCGGGGAACCGACCTCACGCATCACGTAGACCCTGTCGGCGTCCAGGGTGCCGGCCACGCCCAGCTGCAGCGCGCGCCCGACCTCCGCCGGGGTCGCGGAGACTTCCGAGGCGCACAACCCCAAAGTGAACTGCTCGCGGCCCGGGGCAACGAGGCAGCCCGAGTGATTCGCCTTTTGGGCCACCCCCAGGACACCCCAGGCCGGCGCCGCTGAGACGAGGCGCGCGCGGGCAGCTTCCAGTGTAGAGAGGGATGAGGACTGTCCTCATGAGGTTCAGCCGCAACCCCGCGGTACGCTCGAACTCCCCGATTACCCGCTCCCCCACAGCCGCCAGTCGGCCAGTGCCGAGTCGCCATGCGCACCCGCGCAGCATGCAGTCGGGGAGCAGACGAGCGATGCGCCGCATCAGAGTATCGATGGCCGCCGCGAAAAACAGAGGAGATGAGGGGCACCCCCGTCGAACGCCACGTCAAAAATCAAAGCGGGCGTGTTGGGCCCCACCCGAGGCGATTTCACGCGAGCTTTTCTGGCGTGGTGTGCCCCACACATCCGCGAAACCAGGATGGGTCAGCTGAGGTATGAGAAGGCCCAGTGTATGCAGCGATATTCGAAGCATTTTTCCCGATGGCAGGTCGCTGGTCGGCTCTGTGGGTATAGCAGGTACATCAGGCCGGCGTTGAACTCCATCGGCTGAACGTAAGAGTGCCGCTAGGCAAGAGTGACCTTTGGTGCACGGCTCTTGGGGATCGCGAGGAGGCCACACCCAAGCGCGCAGGCCGCTGCCATCGCATCGCGTTCAACCATGCCGAGAGGCCGGAAGCACCGTGCCCGTGCATGTGCCTGGTGGCGGCGTGCAGAAAAACGACGCGGAGAAACGGGCGCAGCGCCTCCATGCGGGAATCGGAGTATCGTCT